TCGGCCACCACCCCCACTGCCCGCACCTGGGGCTTCTGCGGCCCCGGCCCCCAGCTGGAGCCCAGCAGGAGCAGGGAGCCATCTCCTGACCCCTGCAGTGCGTCAATCGCCTCCCACCCTGGGTTCCATCACAGCCCCTCGCCCGGTGCAAGGGGAGCACAACCGCAGCTGTGAGGGCAAAGGAGAAGGCGAGTGTTTATTCAGTCATGCACATAAGCGAGTCTGCTCCAGGGCTCAGGGCCGCTACGCTACCCCCAGCCTGGGACACCTCAGCAGACATTCCTGGAGCTTCACTCCTCGGTCCAGAGGAAAAAAGAGTAGGGGCATCGAGTCGGACGAAGAGAGATGAAGACAAAAAGGCAACCAAGAGCAGGGCAGAGAGGGAGGAATGAAACAGGGACAGGGAGTCGGGACAGCAAACGATGGAGGGAAGGGGCAGCAGGGGAATAACACAAAACAAATCACATAGCTACATGGCAGAGAGGGAAGAATTAAGAAATAGGGAGGGTGGTGCATGTGTTGTCTCTAAGGGCAAGGCGACGGGGGGGGGTTGGTTAGCAGAGGAACCCGTGGAGTCTGGGCCGAATGCCGGGGGGCTTTGCATGCACACATGCGAGTGCATGCGCGCATGCAAGCAAGATCTGTACCAGCGAGCGGGGCTGCAGGCCTCGGGGGCTCATTATGTCCACGTGCTAGTAACTGAGACAGGGGCCAGCTATAAGGTAGACCGTCTAAGCCCAGCTACTGGAGGGATCCACACTGTGCAAGGCGACAGAATAGACAGACCCGGACAAGCTTGAGAAGTGGGCCAGTGTGAACCTCGTGAGGTTCAACAAGGCCAAATGCAAGGTCCTGCACCTGGGTCAGGGCAATCCTCGGTATCAATACAGGCTGGGGGATGAAGGGATTGAGAGCAGCCCTGCGGAAAAGGACTTGGGGATACTGGTGGATGAAAAGCTGGACATGAGCTGGCAACGTGCAAGTGCAGCCCAGAAAGCCAGCTGTCTCCTGGGCTGCGTCAAAAGAAGCGTAGCCAGCAGGGCGAGGGAGGGGATTCTGCCCCTCAGCTCCGCTCTGGTGAGACCCCACCTGGAGCACTGCATGAAGCTCTGGAGCCCTCAGCACAGGAAAGACATGGACCTCCTGGAGCGGGTCCAGAGGAGGCCACAAAGGTGATCAGAGGGCTGGAACACCTCTCCTATAAGGAAAGGCTGAGAGTTGGGGCTGTGCAGCCTGGAGAAGACAACGCTCCGGGGAGACCTTATTGCAGCTTTTCAGTACTAAAAGGGAGCTTACCAGAAAGATGGAGAGAGACTTTTTAGCAGGGCCTGTAGCAACAGGACAAGGGGTAGTGGTTTTAAACTAAAAGAGGGTAGATTCAGACTAGGTATAAGGAGGAAATTTTTTACGATGAGGGTGGCAAAACACTGGAATAGGTTTCGCAGAGAGGTTGTACATGGAATCATTCAAGGTCAGGTTGGACAGGACTTTGAGGAAGCTGATCTAGTTGAAGATGTCCCTGCTCATTGCAGGGGGGCTGGATTAGATGACCTTTAAAGGTCCCTTCCAACCCAAACTATTCTATGATTCTATGATTAACAACAAACGTATTATTTTAACCTTACCAGTATGCTATGAATTCTTTGTTTCAGCTTTGCTTCTGATAATACTTCTTACTAGGATCAGTCTCATTTATCTAAATTTGAAATTGCCATACTCTTGGAAAGCTCTGCATTAATAAAGTAGTAAGCATATCAGAGCTGGCAAGTAACAGCTGGTTGTCAATTTCCCTTCCCTGCCTACTTTTAAAATTCTTTCTTTTAAAAGCTCTATTTTTAAAATTCACAGAAACTGTTTTTCCACAAACCTATAGAACTTGTGTTAGTGGACCCTGCTGCCAGATTCCCACTGAGAAATCTCTCTTGTGAGGCCACAGCATTGTATGGAGGGAAAGAAAACAAAGATTCCAGAGTTCAGAATGGTAAACAGCAAGTGAACATCTGTGCTCGTGGTGCCTACCAGGAAAATAAGTATTAGCCAGTCTCCAAGTCCTTGTCTACGTTCCATGTAAGCACTCATCTATAGAAACGCCTTTGTTTTATGTTACCTATAGATAGATGCAGCCAGTACACAGCCACGCATACTTCAGTTCTCAGCCAAATCAAGCCAGATTCTTTTTATTACTTTCCTTCCTGGGAACTTTCTTTACTCAGGACTTTGCTAGGAGGCATCTGTATTGTGTCTATGTAATGTAATTAAGATGCATTTCATTTACTGTGCATCCATATGGGTGGGCTGTAAGCATAGAAAAAGTCTCACATCAGAACGGTGAAATGAAATCTTCTGCTATTAACCATCACACATTTGTTAGTACATAAAATATATTTAATTAAAACCAAAATATCAAACACTAGATTGATGAAGTTTCATGCAGCAGAGATTTCACTTGTGTCCTGGCTGCAGCAGACACCTGTCTGCACAAGGTGAACAGAACGCACTTTTTTGGAGACCAATAAGTACTCTAGATGATAATGCTGTCAGAGCTCAAAATCTAAGCTCTCAACAGGCACATCTAAAGAATTTGGAGCAAAAGAACATGCTATCTGGTTCCTTCAGCTTCAAGAAGTCACCATGGCAGATGGCCAAACATGCAGTCAAGTTGGACACAAGACCTTCAACTCATATGACCAACAGTTACTGCAGGAAGAAAGACACATCAGAGGAAGCTGTTCACAGACAGAAGACTTCATGCATGGTTCCATGCAAGTTTCTTTATGCTGTTGCTTTACTTTTAACTCCATTACAAGGGATTCCAAATGCTCTGTTTCTGAAGGTCTCATTCATTTGGGTTGCTTCTTCTCTGGTATTTCATCCGCGTCTCTTGCATAAAGTTTCTGAAGGCTGGTTCTTCATGACTCTCCTCAGTAACTGGGGGAAAAAATCCACAGTTCAGCACTATTTCAGCACTTGTTCTACTTGTGTGACTGAAGAAAGCTAGAGTCAGGCTAGTCAGAGCAACACATAAAGTCTATTTGACCTTCAACTTCATTACAAGGCAAAAGAAATAAGTGATCCTAAAAATCAATGGAACAGGGAAAGAATGAAGATTAAGTCTGGGAGATATATAAGAGAAAAATCATACACTCTAAGAACTTAGAAGATTGCTCCAAGACCAGGAGTCACAAGAAAAGGGAAGAGAGCCAGGGGCAGAAACTGTAAGGCTAAAAAGACGATGAAACATTGTGCATTAGTCAGGTTCAGAGGTCACTGCATACTCCAAGCATAACAACTTCTTTGGTTTATGCATGTTATACACCTATTAAAAATAATTACTTGAATAGAAAATTTACAATTGAACTTTCACAAAGGTTAGAGAGTGATATCACTGGACTAAGCATTGCAGCTGGGCTTCTGCAACAGATTCAGACACCTATATTTAGGTGACTGAATGTTTGCTTGTTTTCTAGGCTCTCATTACAGTCAATCTAGTTAATGAAATACAGAGGATATTTCCTGACTAGACAGGCAGCTTTTAGACCAGATCAGATCCCTCATTCCCTTACCTTCATGGTCAATGTCATCAGTATCACTCTCTCTCTCTTCTTCTTCTTCATCAAGAGCCCCTCGTGTTAGGATCAGCTCAGAGGGACCCATTGCAGAAGCATCATCAGACCCTTGAAGGGAACAGAAATGGCTATACACAAAACAGCACGCTAACAAGTAAGTTAGTTTGTGCCCTGACAATTTCAATTTGCACATAAACACAGCAATTAATACCTACTCTGAAGGGACAGAAAGCTGCTTCTGGATTCCAAAGATACAGGACAGACTGCATCAGCGCTATACTCAACCTCATCAAGGCACCAGTTCAACCAACAGCAGAGCTTTCTCATATTCTAATTTGACTGTTTCACCTTTTCTAAAGTATTTCATTACTTCTAGTATGTCCACTTCTTTATCTACACAGCAGGGTTTCTTTTTCTCGTGTCTGTAACTGACACATAGAAGAGCTAAGTCTGACCCATCCCACAGAAACTAAAGCCCCGCTCCTCTTTACTAACTTGAAGCTGCTTTCATGCTTTTGCTGTGAAGACAGAAAAGCACTGTATGACTTCTCCAGGCAGACTCTTCAGACAACTTATGAAGATGAACCGAATGAGGTTCAACAAGTCCAAGTGTAAGGTCCTGCACCTGGGTCAAGGCAATCCCAGACATGAGTACAGACTGAGAGAAGAACTCGTTGAGAGCAGCCACGCAGAGAAGGACTTGGGGGTCCTGGTGGACGAAAAGCTGGATATGAGCCAGCGATGTGCATTAGCAGCCCAGAAAGCCAACTGTATCCTGGGCTGCATCAGAAGAGGCATGGCCAGCAGGTCGAGGGAGGTGATTCTCCCCCTCTACTCTGCCCTTGTGAGACCCCACCTAGAGTACTGCATCCAGCTCTGGAGCCCTCAACATAAGAAAGATGTGGACCTTTTAGAATGGATCCAGAGGAGGGCCACTAAGATGATCAGAGGGCTGGAGCACCTCTGCTATGAAGACAGGCTGAAGGAGTTGGGGTTGTTCAGCCTGGAGAAGAGAAGGTTCTGGGGAGACCTTATTGTGGCCTTCCAATACTTAAAGGGGGCTTAATATAAAAGAGGCGGAGAGACTCTTTATAAGGGCAGATAGCAACAGGACAAGGGGGAACAGTTTCAAACCGAAATAGGGGAAATTTAGATGAGATGTTAGGAAAAAAATTCTTTACTCAGAGGGTGGTGAGGCACTGGAACAGATTGCCCAGAGAGGCTGTGGACACCCCGTCCCTGGTAGTGTTCAAGGCCAGGTTGGACCTGAGCAACCTGGTCTAGTGGGTGGCATCCCTGCCCATGGCAGGGGGGCTGGAGTTAGATGATTTTTAAGGTCCCTTCCAGCCCAAGCCATTCTATGATTCTATGAACTTCTGCAGTAAACTTAATCTTCCTAGTAAGGTACCTGCAAGTGTGTTGCCCTGCACACACACGCTGCCCATGTCCTTCCACAAATGTTCCAGCTGCTCTCTCTTTTGTTTATTTTGAGCTTTCTCCTGTAAGTACAAAGTTACATGTGGATTCTGAGTACATTTAAAACATCAGTAGAAGACTAATCTCACCCAATACTAGCAGTCTGTCCCCCAGCCAGAAAGCAGAAGTCAATAAGCAGGTCTTACATTACAACTAAGGTTACACTGAATTTTTGGATAAACATGGAAAGCAACCTTCAGCATGATGGACTTCAGGAATATTTCCAGCAGCATCAGGAAGCCAAACTCAGTGAAGTTGTGCCTGCAGAGAACTCTCCTTTGGAGAGTCAGAACTCAAGGTGAGCAGAGCTACTCATTTTAGTACTGCAATTCAGTCTTCGTTATTAACTGTCTAAGTCAAAACAGTACCTTCACTGGTGCAGAAAAGATACAGTGGTATTCTCAACAAATCACTTTGGCAAGTTATTTTTAAAAAAGTCTCTATCCTTCTGAATGGAAGATATAAAAATCTTTCCCAATCATTTTCTCACAATTTGCCCAAATAAATTATTAGCACTAAAACACTGAGCAACATCTGTTTTACAAAACATCTTTATTTTTGTGAAGATATGCTCCACCAAATCTAGGAAAAAAAGACAGATGGTGAGCTTCAGGACAAGAGTTCTTCCACACTGAGTATGATTAGTAAATGAAATGTTAGATCCTCCCAACATACAGGCAATTGTGTGCATAAAAGTGACCCCAACATACACTGCCCAGGTATGCAATAGTAAAAAATACTTACCAGTGTTTTTCTCAGGCGTTCGTATTCTGGACGATATTCTCTGGAAAGATAAATAAAGAGAATGCATTCAGTCTGAACTAATACATGATTTATATTAAGTAAGGATCATCTTGGAGGCTTGTTCTACCCCAAAAAAGTTTTCTCTAGGCTTTCATGTTTGAGAAACATTTCAGAAAGACTAACAGTACTTTTTACTCAGATTTGGATTCTGAAACCAATGGATGCAAAATAAGTGAATATACTTCATTAAAACAGCAAACCTTTCTCACACCATCTTATTGGATAAGAAATTAAACCAGCTCGACTGAGGTAGTCATTTCATTGCTATACCTAATCAGCAGATTTATCACTCTTCTCTAATCACAGACATGACTTTCTCTGCCAGAACTTGTGTGCCTCCTAAGACAGTTCAATGGGATCTCATAAAGATAGACTGTTCACAGACTTCCAAACTATTGTACTGCTATGGAACCTTTGAAATATTTTTTTAACGAAGTAAGGATAAAGTGGATGTGGATACCTTCTTCTTAGAATCATGAAATGGTTTGGGGTGGAAGGGACCTTTAAAGATCATCTGGTCTAACCTCCATTGCATGGGCAGGGACATCCTTCACTAGACCAAGTTGCTCAAAGCCCCGTCCAACTTGACCTCAAACACTTCCAATGACTGGGCGTCCACAGCTTCTCTGGGCAACCTGCTCCAGTGGCTCACTACCTTCATCGTAAAAAATTTCTTCCCTATGTCCAATCTAAAACTACTCTCTTTCAGTTTAAAACCATCGCCCCTTGTCCTGTCACTACACTCCTTGGTAAAAAAGTCTCTCTTTGTCATTCTTATAAGCCCCCTTTAAATACCAAGAGGCCACAATAAGGTCTCCCCGGAGCCTTCCCTTCGCCAGGCTGAACAACCCCAACTCTCTCAGCCTTTCTTCATAGGAGAGGTGTTCCAGTCCTCTGATTGTTTTCGTGGCCCTCCCCTGGACCTGCTCCGACAGGTCCATGTCTTTCTTGTACCGTGGGCCCCAGAGCTGCATGCGGTGCTCCAGGCAGGGTCTCACAAGAGCAGAGTAAAGGGGAAGAATCCCCTCCTTCAACCTGCTGGCCATGCTTCTTTTGATGCAGCCCAGGATATGATTGCCTTTCTGGGCTGCAAGTGCACACTGGCAGCTTATATGAAACCCTTAACTAGGGTTTCATTATGTAGGCAGCATATCCCAGAATAATTGTTAGGTTATGTGGTAAAACTCCTCAGCACCTCCAAAGAGCGCAGAGAGACATTTGGTGGGGAGGGGAAGCACAAATAATACCCTGCCCAGATACTCCCAGGCCCATCACAGGAGAGCCATCAAAGCATCAAAGACCAATCTCAACAAGCCCAGAGGAACACAGGGGCACGGTGGCAGGCAGGGAATCCAAATTAACGACTTGGAGGAAGGGATTCCCTATCCCAGCTCCTCCCAGGGCTGTCCCAGGAGAACCACCAGCCCCATGGTCCAGGCGTGAAACCCATCACCATGCCTCACTGGGAGCTCTCTGGATCACCTTGCGAGCACAGATGGGTGGCTGCCTAGGGGTGCAGGACACATTATGGGATGCAGAGAAAGAGTATTTGGGAATAGCACAGGATTTATTATAGCATGTTTAGGGAAGGAGCCAAAGGTGGGAAATGTGAGGGGTTCGGGAGATTTGGCGAGGAACAAGTGTGGGAAACAGAGGAATAAGGGAATAAAATAGTCTATTTGCATGTAAGCAGAGACTAGGCAGTATGCAGACCTGGGGACGTAACCAGGCCAGACTAATCAGATGTGGGAGCATGAAGCTGTAGCAGCCTCTCTCTGGCTATCCGATCCAGCATGATATGTTTTTCTGTAACAATAATCTATGGTCTGGTTTAGATATTTCCAAGTAATCCAAGTTACTGGATTTGCTTTCTAATGTTATAGAGCAGCCTGGCAGTATTTCATGGGGAGGAATTCAGTAAGGAGCAAATTCTCAAAGAATTTCAACTTGCTCATCTATTCAGTCTGCCAAACTGATCTGTTAGCTTCCTGAGGACAATTCAGACCTTGATCATTGTATGGAATCAGAGGAGGAAAATGACTTCACAGATTTGCTGGCACAGATAGCTTTTACTTTTTCACTGAACAGTTAGTACAAAAATTCACCGCTGAATAGTTCCTTTTGACTGCTGCTTTTTATGCTGACTTTTGCACTTAGGTTTATTAGAAACCCTAGACTACCTCAGCTGTGAAAAGTGAACAGTCCTTCAAATCAGAGTGTGCTCATGAATCAATAACGTCAGCAAGTATTCACTGGGTCAGGGACCAAAGTTATCACCTTACCTCTCATACTCATCGACAGCTTTAGAAAGCTGAACAAAAAAATCATCCAGTCCTGTGCCGAGCACAGCAGAAACACCAACCACCTGTAAAAGAAAACCATATACCAGAACTGAACAGCAACAGAACCAAGTTTTTAGGTAACTGATGGATGATCAGAGCTGGAAAGACTAATCAGTATCTTAAAAAAAAAAACCAAAACAAACTAAACTAAAAAAAAAGGGGGGGGGGAATCTAATGATACCCATTTAATCATCACAGTGGCTTAAGAGTGTGCAGTAATACTTCCACTTCTGTCATTCCTACTTTCAGCCTCTTTCTCCACCTGCTGTTAATGTTTGCTACCTGTGGCTTTTGGTTGGGGTTGTTTTTTTCCTCTTTTCTTTCTTTCTTTCTTTCTTTCTTTCTTTCTTTCTTTCTTTCTTCTCTTATTTAACTCAGGAACCTGGGTTTTCCTGTCTGTTTTACGAATTTTACTGGGGGCGGTGTGTGGGAAGCAACAGTTAAAAAAAAAAAAAAAAAAGAAAACCTGACTCTGCACCCATCCTTGTATCTCCAATCACAATAACCCACAAAAAAACATAGCTAAGACAATACAATACCTAAACATAATGAACACGATAGGGCAATTCAAAAGAAAGATCAAGTCTTTCTTCTGTTTACTTGGTTATTGTTAATAATCCAAGTTCTCATTCTGAACCTAGTATTATAAGTGGTTAGTACGACTGCTGCAATATCAGTGTACTAGAATTAAAGAGTAAAATAGATCATAAGAACTGACCTTTTGCCTCTGAAGTTCTGCCTAATACTTTGTATTTAGCTGAAGCACATTTTAAAAGGTACCCAAGCCAACCGCCAGAACAGCGGAGATGTTGATGGAGAATTGATTATAATCAGTTACTATGGCAACACATTGAAAATGCACATCTGCTTTCTAATTTGAACTTGTCTGTCATTACACTTCTGGCCATTTGTTCTGCTTTTATTAAATCAGTTATCTAAAAATACCTTTTATTAAGACTATTACTAGCCAGTACTTGGTGACCCTTAGAAATCTTACATCCTCTAATGAAAATTCTCCCTTTTTCATAAGCAAGACAATCTTAACTACTCACTTTCAAATGTAAGACTTTTTCCAACACAGCCTTGTATTTCATCAATAGTACAGTGAATATGTGGACAATCAAGTATTGCAAAGGATTTTAAGCATTAGTCTAGGCACTGTGCTGATATATATTAATATTTATACTTTCATTGCACTTAAGTACAAGCTGCCTTCTACTCTATAATCCTCTGCATATGTCCTGCTCTCCAGTCTACTATTCTAATAGATGTGACATGCGTGCCAACAGCTGAATAGCAAATAAGAACTAGGAAGTATTTTAGTCCTGTATATGGCACCACTACAATCCGTTTTGAAATACTGTATATTGTTCCACATAAGGCACTTAAAAGATTTTTGTTTTGGCTAAGTTATCATTATCTATATGAATGGAATTACTTATTTATTTTCATTGTCTTTCTTATAATATCCATAAAGCCACTTGCTTGCATTTTCTTAAGTAAAAGCTGATGAAAAACACAATTAGCTGAACCCTTTTAGCACAGACTATGGGATCATCAACATCCTGCAATGTATAATGTTTTCAGAGAAACTGAATAGATTTGTCCTCTCAAAACCTGGTAAGTGGAAAAAAACCCCACACTTTTTCTTGCATGAGCAAATATACACGTTTTTTGTTTGGTTGGTTTTGAGATTCTTTCCCTTCTTCCTACATACTAAATTGCCCAACTGTACTTGACACTTTCAGAACAAGGAAAATTATCTCAGATGGGAGACACTGCAACACAGCCTATCTCAGATTTCTTCTGATGATTAGTCACAATTCAGTATTAAATGATTCAGGCTGCCACTCAGTGTGACAAGCAACTAAAGTTACTTTATCTTCAAACCAGCAAATCCTTGTCCCCAGTGCAAGGCTCATCAACAGATTCCAGTTCAAAAGGGCAGTGCAAAGCCCTTTTACAAAAGGACAGAATGGCTGAAGTTGGAAGATACCTCTGGAGATCATCTAGTCCAACCTTCCTGCTCAAAAAGCAGGATTAACCAGAACAGGTTGCTCAAGATCTTGTCTGAGTGTTTTGAGTATCTCCAAGGATGAAGACTCCGCAATTTTTCTGGACCATCTGTTCCAGTGCTCAATCAGTAAAATTACAGTAATTCTTTTTTCCTCTTCTGTTTAAACATAGTTTTCTGTATTTCACTTCGTGTCTATTTCCTCTTGTCCTTTCACTGGGCACCACTGAAAAGAGCGTGCCTCTGTCTTCCTTACATCCTCACATCAGGTATCTATACACATCGAGAATATCTTCCTTGAGCTTTCTCTTCTCCAGGCTTTTATGAGAGGTAGTAAAAAGAGGAAGATTCCTACCTTCAGTGAACTGTAAAATTCATCCAACACTAAACTCATAGAACGAGTCAGGTTACTGACATAGGATGTCTCCTGATTCAGGGCATCTTGAAAAGTCTCAAAGTCCTGCATCCATTCTACTGCAAAACTGTGGTCAATTATGTCAGTCTGGAAGGAGAACAGAAAATTTTCAGAAGTAATAATGATGAATTCTTAGCCTTAGGCTGTTAAGTGGACAAAAAAAAAATTTCCATTTTAAGCTTACTTTCAAAATGCTGATCTTTTAAAAATATTCAGCCCTGGTCTGAAGTTTTCCAAGCTCTGTTTTTATCAAACCAACTACTTGAATACAGAAAAGAGGACCAACAACCACTATCCCAGTTTTAAGAAGGCATGTTTAAGGAAACAATTGCAAGTCTAAAGGCTTCTATGGTTTACTGGAAAGGGGCATCCAAAAATTGCATACTGTACAAGAAAGTTTAAGTTGTAAATATTAGATCGTATGATTGAGGCCAGACAAGAACAGTCCTCACTGAAGATCCCATCCTTTCTTTATTGGCTTGGCGGTCAGGGGGGAGAGGGAGCCATTTCCATGTTGGGTAACAGTATACAGGATCTTTATAAAAAGTGAGCTGTGCTCTGACCTGAAGAAGTTATAATCTAAACTCAGTGCAAGACAATGGACACAAACAGGGGAGATGGGTCCATAATTTTACATGGATTAGTATGCAGTCTATTAAAGAGTTTTATAAACATATCTTACCACATGTATATCCACTATTATCACAATATAGAGGTGTCTAAAACACTGACATATTTCATTTTCCAGCACCAATGGGAATGAGGAAAATAGATAAAGTATTACTTACCATTACTCAAGAGATTCGAGACAGAACTGAATCCATCAAGGGTCAAAGCCTGACTATTTAGAGTTAGCTTGATTACATTCTATAAATAAAATTAAATCAACTCTACAAATTACTTTTTTTCCTCTGCAGTTCTTAACATTCCTTAAATCTATGTGTTTGTCACTGCACATATATCAGTTCCTTGGGATTCTTCCATTCTTATCAAGAGTCAATTTTAAAATGCTTCTCAAAAATTCTTCAAATGCTGTTGGCTTTACTTTTTACCAAAGGCTAAACGTCAGATCAAAATGAAGTTTAAATTTATGAATCCTAAGCCTTGGGCCTACCTTTCCTTACATATACTGATGAAGCCCCATTTCTTTCAGTCCTTCAAAAAACGTATTTTCTTAAGAGAAAATTATTTTCCTACCTCATGCCTTTTTCTACAGAAAAAGCTTAACAGCTTATTCTAAAATTACCGTCTAGAGTTAGAAAGAAAACAGTGTACAAAAACTTGCTAAGTAAGCAAGAAAATATCAAAGACATGCATGGTTTGGGTCACTGGGAAGATGCGTAGTTGGAGTACATCAGACACTAATCCTGCTCGGCTGGTGTGAGGTAAAAGTTCACATTCAAAGCATGGGTTTTCTAGAGGAAGCATATGGGGTATATGTGCATGCACACACAAAGCTTGCTATGTTGGGGAGCAATTCCTTGAATACAAAGGATGTCTGTGGGGAAAAGGAAGAGTAATCACACCAAAAATCTAATGGGATTCTTTTAATATGTGAAATTGTTTTGTTTAAAGAGCCAGCTAGCTGTTAAGTTCAAAAGCATTCCTTTAAGGCTACAAATACCTTACACAACAGTGGAACTGTATCCTTAGGCTAGTATCTGCTTTCTGGCAAATACTGGCACATTTTTAGTGTCACCGATCAGGACCAAAAATCTTTTGTTAAGTTTTGCCTGCTACAATACATGGGACTCCTTCCTCAAAACAGGCAGGTGTTACACAATTCCCACTGTAGTCATCAGCCTGCTGCTGAGTAGAAATAATTAATGATTAAGACAATTGTTCTGAGGAAGCAGTGGACTGTACGAGCAGATTCAGTAATGAATTTACCTTATGTTACATAGTTAAGCTTCCTTATAGCCTAGGGTTAAGGTGCAAAACATTTTTCAAATTGTTATTATCATCTCTAACATTTGGGTGTAACTGCCCATCCCTGATTCTTCTTGTGCATTTGTATACTAGATTAAAGGCCCTTTTAGATTTGGTTTTCAGCCTATAGCTCCCTCCCAGCTTCCCTTTTCTAGAGAATCTGTTGTTGTAGTAAGACAAAGACAATACAGCAAAGCAAGCTAAACAGAACAATGTTCCACTAGGACATAGAAACCATAGCTTTAACTTACTTTGTTCATGACAACAATGAAAGGTAGCTTTGTCTTGTACAGGATGCTGGGGGGGGGGGGGGGGGGGAAAAAAAAAAACAAAAAAAAAAAAAAAAAAAAAAATTTA